AGAATCAAGTGGCAGGGCTCAGGCTTCAGCCCCAGGTCCCAGCAAATCTAAGCCAGTCCTGGCAACCCTGTTAAAATGGGGTCCCAACCCACAGTCAGAGAAACAGTGGTATAAAGAACAAATTCATTTCAAGGGGACCATATGCACCAAGAAAACAAATGGTGGTGCTACCAAAATCTTAAGAAGAATCATACTTATTACATCATAAACACCTGCAATAATAATGCTCCCTATTCTCACTCCTTTTGTAGGTAATACTTCATTCCAATCAAGGGTGGAAGAAACAAGTTTAAACAAGACTTTGATACACAGCAGAAACAATATGTTGATTAGTCTATTAAAATGAAATGCTTCCTATATTTGCTTTGGGTAATAAATAATTTCACCAACATCTTTACAACAGCTGTTAATGCAGGTTCTCCCACTGTACATACACATTTGTACATATCTTCTACTTTACCAATTAGACACAAAATAATAATCTGTCCATCAATAGTCCATCAAATTTCTACTCTCTCAGTATTTCAAATATTTTGAAAGGCTCTAAACCTGCTAACACTTAAACCCATGCTTAATATGTTTCACAGTACAATTACTAACTACATTTACAGTAACAATTTACAGCTGATAATTGAATCCCTGTGCTGAAGATTGATCTGTCCAAATATCTGTACTATGCAAACTAATAACAGTAGAACAATGCCAAATGATGTAGCCGTGAGAAAGGCCACACTGAATAAGATGAAAAAACAAAACCCACTCTGCAAAGAGATCAGCAAGTGGCAAAGACTAAATGCTCTGTCTACAGTACATAAATTCACGGAAGCTAATATAGATTATACCAGGGGTGCGGCACCTCCATCGAACCACGCCTGCTGATAGCTGTGAGTTCCTGTGCCTGGGGGTAGCCCAGGGAAAGTGTTTTGTGGCCCACCAACAGCTAACTCTGATGAACTGTGTCCAGCCCACAGGTTGGGGGCTCCCCACTCCTGGATTACACTAGTGAAGCTGAATGAACATTAGGAATCCTAAAATAGATACGTTTCTGGTTGCTGACATCACTTTAAGCCAAGGGTGTCAAAACTTATTTCAAAGAGGGCCAGATTTGATGAAGTGAACATGCGTGAGGGCCGACCATTTTGCCTGACATTGTTTGAACCATTAGAATTAAATGCAAATTAACTATTTTATGCAAAGTTTATTGCAAACGGCATACTTTTCATTTCGTCACATGGATGACAAATCTAAACAGGTGTTAAATCACTCTGCCTTTCATATCTGAAGGCCAGATGAAAAAAAAATCCAGGAAGCTGAAATATATGTCAGGAACATTGTAAAGTACATTACATATTATTGGTAATAAAGGTTGTCTGTCAACTTTTAAGTTCAAAAAATATGAACAGGAACATAACACCAAGTATACATGTTGTGTCCAAATATATTTATAACTGATTTAGACCAACTGACTTTAACTGAGATTTTACAATGTATTCATCTCAATACATATGGATTCATTGGGGGCCATAAAAGATAGATATTGCCAAATTACCCGGGACAGTGATCATGAAATAATAGAGTTCATGATCTTAAGGAAAGGTAGAAGGGAGACCAGCACAATTGAGGTTATGGATTTCAGGAAGGCAGATTTTGATAAGCTCAGAGAACTTGTAGGTAAGGTCCCATGGGAAGCAAGACTGAAGGGAAAAACAACTGAGGAGAGTTGGAAGTATTTCAAAGGGACGTTGTTAAGGGCCCAAAAGCAAACAATTCCGCTGTGTAGGAAAGATAGAAAATATGGCAAAAGACCAGCTTGGCTTAACAAGGAGATCTTGCATGATCTCAAAATAAAAAAGGAGTCATATAAAAAATGGAAACTAGGACAACTAACAAAGGATGAATATAGGCAAGCAACACGGGAATGCAGGGGCAAGATTAGAAAGGCAAAGGCACAAAATGAGATCAAACTAGCTACAGGCATAAAGGGAAACAAGAAGACCTTTTATAAATACATTAAAAGCAAGAGGAAGACCAAGGACAGGGTAGGCCCACTGCTTAGTGAGGAGGGAGAAGCAGTAACAGGGAACTTGGAAATGGCGGAGATGCTCAATGACTTCTTTGTTTCGGTCTTCACCGAGAAGTCTGGAGGTGTGCCTAACGTAGTGAATACAAGCAGAGAGAGGGTAAGTTTAGAAGATAGGATACACAAAGAACAAGTTAAAAATCACTTAGGAAAGTTAGATGTCAGCAAGTCACCAGGTCCTGATGAAATGCATCCCAGGATACTCAAGGAGCTGATAGAGGAGGTATCTGAGCCTTTAGCTATGATCTTTGAAAAATCATGGCAGACAGGGGAGATTCCAGAAGACTGGAAAAGGGCAAATATTGTGCCCATCTATAAAAAGGGGAATAAGAACAACCCAGGAAATTATAGACCGGTCAGTTTAACGTCTGTCCCAGGGAAGATAATGGAGCAGGTAATTAAGGAAATCATATGCAAACACTTGGAAGGTAATAAAGTGATAGGGAATAGCCAGCATGGGTTTGTGAAGAACAAGTCATGCCAAACTAATCTGATAGCTTTCTTTGATAAGATAACGAGCCTTGTGGATAAGGGAGAAGCGGTGGATGTCATATACCTAGACTTTAGTAAGGCATTTGATACGGTCTCGCATGATATTCTTATTGATAAACTAGGCAAATATAACTTAGATAGGGCCACGATAAGGTGGGTGCATAATTGGCTGGATAACCGTAGTCAGAGAGTTGTTGTTAACGGTTCTAAATCCTGCTGGAAAGGGATAACAAGTGGAGTTCCTCAAGGGTCTGTTTTGGGACCCGTACTGTTCAATATCTTCATCAATGATGTAGATATTGGGATAGAGAGTACTCTTATTAAGTTTGCAGATGATACCAAACTGGGTGGGGTTGCAACTTCTTTGGAGGATAGGGACATAATTCAAAATGACCTTAGCAAGTTAGAGAAATGGTCGGAGGTAAACAGGATGAGGTTTAATAAGGAGAAATGCAGAGTGCTCCACTTAGGAAGGAACAATCAGTTCCATACATACAAGATGGGAAGCGACTGTCTAGGAAGGAGCATGGCGGAAAGGGATCTAGGGGTCATAGTGGACCACAAGTTGAATATGAGTCAACAGTGTGATGCTGTTGCCAAAAAAGCAAATATGATTCTAGGTTGTATTAACAGGTGTGTTGTAAGCAAAACTCGTGAAGTCATTCTGCCGCTCTATTCTGCACTAGTTAGGCCTCAGCTGGAGTACTGTGTCCAGTTCTGGGCGCCACATTTCAAGAAAGATGTGGAGAAATTGGAAAGGGTACAGAGAAGAGTGACAAGAATGATTAAAGGTCTAGAGAAGCCTATGAAGCCAGGCTTCATGAACTGGGCTTGTTTAGTTTGGAAAAAAGAAGATTAAGGGGGGACATGATAGTGGTTTTCAAATATCTAAAAGGGTGTCACAAGGAGGAAGGTGAAAATTTGTTCCTCTTGGTTTCTGAGGACAGGACATGGAGTAATGGGCTTAAAGTGCAGCAGGGGAGGTTTAGATTGGACATTAGGAAAAAATTCCTAACTGTCAGGGTGGTCAAATATTGGAATAAATTGCCAAGGGAGGTGGTGGAATCTCCCTCTCTGGAGATATTTAAGAACAGGTTAGATAGACATCTGTCAGGGATGGTGTAGACAGAGCTTGGTCCTGCCTTGAGGGCAGGGGGCTGGACTCGATGACCTCTCGAGGTCCCTTCCAGTCCTATGATTCTATGTAAGTCGCTGATGGCCCTGCACCGCTTTGTTTACATAAAGTGTCCATAGCCACACAGCTTCCATTGGCAGCAATCTGTCGTTTTTAGCCTAGGGGAGCTAGGCTGGAAATGACGAACCGCAGCCAATGGGAGCTGCAAAGCTCCATGGCTATGGACAAAGTATGCAGCCTGTCAATGGCTTTTCTGGGTAGGTCCACAGCCCATTTTGAGAACCACTACTTTAAGCACTGTATTTATCAGATCTGAGGTAAGCAGTACCTACTGAAGGACACAAGGGACAACATAAGGCTTGTTTTAGGAAACTACCATAATGCTTGGTCTTAATAAGGAAATCCAAGTCAATATACTTTTATTAAGTACACTACAGTTATATCTCATCATCTTCTTCTACTCTCAGTTATTAGCTATGAATGCTTCCCATACAAATTCATGTAGAATACACATCTACTTTAAATTCCATGGAAAGTGTTCCAATTGCAGAATTCACTATTTGTATAATGAATCAAAATCATAATACTTTAAAAAAGATGAACAAATAAAAGGGAAGTCCATGATGAGCATACATTTACTCCAAGTAAACCAAACAAAGCTATTTAAAGTCAAGTCACGCCAAGTCAAGACATCATGGTCCACATTTTTATGTTTGTGTAGCTGATATATGCAATGCCTAACGCATGTGCATGCACACACAGGTGATACAGAAATCTTGACTTTCAAGTATCAGGCATCTTGTGTAAAGGGGAACATGTAGAAAATGTGCATGTATGTTTAAAAATGTGCATCTGAAATTAAAGCTATTTTTCAGTTACTGAAGTTCTATCTCAAAATATATTTTATGAAACTGTAGTTATTTCACAAATCTGTATTAATATATTTTTGTTTTATATGTGTCTCAGTGTTTAGCTAGATTTTCTCCAGGTTAGTATGTAAAAGAGGCTATAAACTATGGGTACTTAAGGAAACAACACAAATTTGACAAGATCTGTGGCTGAATGGTTACAGATTGACATTAGCTGCATTCCTGTTCTCTGGACAGTAAGATTATTTGCAGCATGAAGTATGTGGTTGCACACATTTTTGTAAAAGCCCAGGGATACTGAATATGCTATTTACTGGAGTAAATCAAGTAGAACACCTGCTGGAGAAAAGGCAATACAAGATAATTAGTTGGTCATTAACCAGAATTAGGCAATATAATCTATGTCAGGGATGGGCAATAATGTGAGACCAGGGGCCACTTCAGAAATTTTTGAAGTGGCCCTGGTCCACCCTGGAAGGGGCAGGGCCTTGGCAGCAGGGGCTGGGCCAGGACACATCCAATGCTTCCCCGCCCACAGATCCTGAATGTGAAGTCTTTGCCCCTGCCTTCCCCCTCCTCCCCAAGAGAATCACCAGCTGTTCTGAAGCTCTGGTGGTTCCTTCTAGTTGCCTATGCCCCTGGCAGCAGGAGGAGACTTTGCACTCTAGTTGCCTACGTCCCTGGCAGCAGGAGGAGACTTTGCACGCTCCCCCCGCCCCCAGGTCAATCAGGGCCTAGGAGTGGGAGAAGCACAGGAAGTCTCTTGCTCCCTGTCCCGACCCTGCAAGGGGTGCGTGGCACTTAGAGTCAACCGCATGCTGCTGCTGCTGGGGGACGAGACTTAACGCATTGCTCCGTCCCCAGGCCCTGATTGGGTGGGGGAGTGGCAGGGCATCCACGGGCTGGATAAAACTACTTGGTGGGCTGGATCCGGCCCGTAGAGGGACTTTTGCCCACCCCAATCTATGTACTTTGCAGGAAGTCTGACCTTAATGCTGTGGCAATCTGGTAAAGCAGGGAACATTTTTTTAGCAGTTTTAGATAAATGCAAAAACTGAGTTATTGAATTAAATGTGAAAATGAATGATAATTACAATATCTCTTTACATAAAATTGAATTTAATATCAAATTATACTTCACCAACATTTTTATATTTTCAAATCACTGGAGATTTTGTACTGAAAATGCATAACTATTTAAGAGAAGATGTTAAGGAAAAGATTTCTGCAGTTGGGGTTTTTGACACCTAGAATGGAATGAGAGGCAACATATGAATTTGTGAGATAAGCTCATTCTTCTTAAGCCTTTTACACAAAGAAAACTTGGATAACTTTCCACTTGTGGTAGCTATGGTGGAAGCTAAGTAGACAAACATCCAATTCCTGTCTAAGCTATTGACTTCACTGTTGCCGGCATAATAAAGCTACAATGGTAGTGAAACAGAGGAGATAATTTTCCCAGTATAGAAGAGACCTAATATTTCCCTGTTTTATTTTTATAGGTGTCCACATTCTATTAAATTGCTTCTAAAGCCAACAGATCTTAGGGCTGAAACCCAGTAGTATTATATGGGATTAATGAATGCATTCCAAACCATCGTATTTTCTTCTTTGTTCTTTTTCTGGAAGATGGTGATCTTGAATATTAATATGGGAGTTTTACCAATTCTAATTTTCATTCACACCAAACAATTCCACCTACCTTCTGTCCTATCCACCTATACTTTCTTTAAGGAGGAGTCTTGAAAATCTGGCTATACAATCACCATTAGATGGTTAAACAGAATATGTTTCTCTCCTAAAATACATACACGAATAAGTTTTTTCCACAACTTTTAAAACTCACAATTCAAAATGCATCTGAACCAAATTCCTGTGAAATAAATACATATACATTGGAATAAAGACTTTGCAGAATACTTTGATCATGAACTAGCAAAGCAATATTGAAATATATGTCATCCCTACAGATGCAGTTTTGAACAGTGCTCTGATATAATTAAAATGTGTTATAGCATCAGTAAATACTGACTTTCCATTTACTGAAACATATTTGATTAACTAATTTTAAAATAGCACTAATGGTTTAGCCATGATGATTGTAAAGTTAATATTCAGCACCAATAAACACCACCACAAAAGATTTTCCATTAAAACAAAACAAACACACTACATAAACATGAAAAATACATACAGTAGTAATGTCATTTTGTAGTACATCCTCCTCTTCATTATTTTCCATGATTCTGGACAGCAGAAGTTTTAAGATGGTAACATTATTTAAATTTGCCTCCCTAAAATTGGTTACAAATCCTTGAGGGTTTTTTCTTCAACCAGTTCTCCCCCCCCTCTCCAAAAAGAGTTTTCAACAGGATAAAGTGCCTCAAAAATCAGCACCAATAATATATCATATTTTCATTTCATAAATCCTTTAAGAAGCCACAGAGTTTTACAAATGATGAGAAGTGGCCTCATCGGTGTTCAGCAAAACAGGTTCATGCACAATAATCACACCGAGCTGTAGGCTGGTATATCAGATATTAAGTCACATGTCAGGAATTGTGTAAGAGTTAAACTTACATATTTCAGTAAATCATCCACCCATTCAACTTTGCAACTTCTTAGTAAGTTTACTTGCTTTTATTGGAGTCTTTTTTTTTTCTTTCCCAGAAGGATCATATATCCGTTTGTACAACTCACTGCAAACTTGGGCTCAGATCCAGGGAAATGCAAACAGGTACTGAACTTTGAACAACTGAATAGTCAATCTTATGCATAGGTGAGTTGCTAGGCTGCTGCCAGAGTGCTCAGCAATCTATAAGATGTTAAAGTAGCTAGGAATTTGTCATGAGAGAAAACAGGTGTGGTTTTAAACCTGTGTAAACATCCTAACATACCCAAGGCAATTTGCAGTTTTAATACATTAGCTGGGTTGTGGAAAACCAAATTTCTACCAGGGTTTATCTCGACCTATTAACATGGTAGCATTATAAAACACATTATCTACACTAGGATTTTATCAAGTGTTAAAATATCTTTCTTTCTTTACCATACACTGCATTGGTCTTAGTAATCTCTCAGCCTCCTCTGCTGGAGCTGGAAGTGGCTAGAAATTTCCTCCATAGAATTTCCCAGAAGTGGCCCTTCAAAAGGACCCTAACTTCCTTTAAGAAGGAGGGACTCAGCAGCAATGTCATGGCTGAGTATTATGGCCTCATAAAATATTTCATAGATACTCTATCCAGTTTTAATGAGCTGTACGTTAAGTTTGCTCCCTAAAGATTAAATTCTGCAGAACTGCAGAAAAAGCCAAGAGCAGCAAAACCAGCATTGTTCCACTGAGCAGGAGTCCCTGCTGCAGAAATGCTGCAACAGAAATGCTGCAAAGGAGAATTTAGCACTGTTCTATGGACTGCAGCAGGAGCTATATGGTGGCTCCCCATACCATTCTACTTATGGGACACTGAAAGCAGGGGCATGAGCAGGAATTCCATCACTTGCTAATTTTGACTGGAGGGAGAGTACAAAGGCTGTAGCTGCTGCTGCAGTAGCAATGTGAGCATCTCCACTGGTACTATATCTCTTAGGAAGGAATAAGATTCTGTCCTACCCTGATCCCCACAGAAAACCACCACAGCAAGCTTATTTACTTACACTTTACACAGGAAAGAACATTTGGTCCACTGTCTATTAGGCAGCCCAGTCCTCTGCACTCAGATCTGCAGGCTCTCACAGCATTTCTTTCTGAAAGGCTGGAAAAGTATGGAGGCCTCTCCTGCAGCAAACTTATTTTTCACTTTTTCAGGAAAAATTTAGAAGATAAATTGTTTGGGGAAAATGTATCTCAAAGCTATGGATGGAGGCAGGCACTTCCCCTCCCCCCTTCCCCATTCTTTCTTGCTGGGTCATTCTCAATTTGACTTCTACAGTCTGAGAAACACTGTTTCAGAAATATTAAAAAGAGAAGAGAATATTGAACTAATGAGAGTCCAAATGAAAAGGTAAAAAGAAAGCATTATGACATCTTTATACAGATGAACAGTCAAAGTGCAACACAAGTAATCACTCATGCTAATAAGTCACGGGAAGAAGAATGGAGCCAATTAAAGTCACAAATGAATATAACCCTAAATAAAACAAACTGATTTACCATGAAGTTTTCTGATAAATAACCAAGTTACCAACATTGAACTTCATATTACTCCTATTTGTTCATATTTTCTCAGTCAAGTAATAAAACAGCACAGTCTTACTGAAATCAGAAGTAGCAAGTTTGCAAAGATACAAAACAGTGGTGGTAGCCAAGTAAAAACTTCAAAACAGACTGGCTACGTCTAGACTGGCATGATTTTCCGCAAATGCTTTTAATGGAACAGGTTTTCCGTTAAAAGCATTTGGGAAAAGAGCGTCTAGATTGGCACGGACGCTTTTGCGCAAAACCACTTTTTGCGGAAAAGCGTCTGTGCCAATCTAGACGCGGTTTTGCGCAAGAAAGCCCCGATCGCCATTTTCACCATCGGGGCTTTTTTGCGCAAAACAATACCGTGTTGTCTACACTGGCCCTCTTGCGCAAAAGCATTTTCTCAAGAGGGCTTTTGCCCAAACGGGAGCAGTATAGCATTTCCGCAAGAACACTGACAATCTTACATGAGATCGTCAGTGTTCTTGCGGAAATTCAAGCGGCCAGTGTAGACAGCTGGCAAGTTTTTCGGAAAAACTTGCCAGATTGGCTACTTTATTTTGTATTCTGAAGTTCCAAAAGCATTATGAAAGTAGGACAGTTTGAACCTCTCTAGTCCCGCACACTTGAGACCTGACCAGTGCTGAACCAGAGAATTTACCAAATCATGGAAAGTCAATATTATAGTGAGTGTATCTTTTTATTTTTATTTCACAGAGGTAAATAAATGGAAAAGTGCTTTCAATGCTTGTTAATAATGTATGACTGTACTGCTACACCCTATAGACGCCTACACCTAGCCTAAGATTACCAGCTCTCTTCATAACAAAGTGCTAGTGTTGTTACATAATTTTACTGTACTGACACAAAGTAGTAAGTAGATAAAGCATAAAAAATGCTTATGTTTAGCAGCATTACCAGCACTTCCATTGCTTGCTGGTCTCTTAGAAGACATTTAGGGGTAATATAGAGTAAAATAATAGCACAGAACACTGAAAGCCAGGACTGATGCTGTAAACAAATTTTATGAGATTGCAGAAAATTTGGAAACACCCGCGATAAGAGGACAATTGACTAACTAAAATCATGCCAGACCATGGATGTTGCTAGACCAGAGTGTGCGTGCCAGATTAGAAAGGTTCAATTTATAGATTTAAATGATGAATTTGTTACAAATTTCAATGCAATTGTGATTTTCACATGCTGATATTAAATATTTGTAAAAGTTAGACTATTATCACTATAAGATGAGAAAAATCTGAGTGTCTTAGTTATAAAATGACCAATACTCAAAACCAGCCCTATAAAGACAATGAATATTCTTACTCTAGCCTTCCTACAATATATAATAATTTGGTTACTTTTATTATTGAATATCAACCATTTCCAATTCTTATAACAGTAATTTTGTCAGGCCCTGGGATTAAAAAAAACAAACAAAAAAAACAAAAACAAAACACAATTTTAGAGTCTACATCTCCCAAAGGCCTTATCGGGAATTGAAGGCACCCTGTACTTTTGAAAATCAAATCTTTAGGGACTTTAGGCAGTATGAGCTGCATAAAGTCAGCATATCTCACATTCAGTCCTGAAGTATTACAGCTGTTGAACCAAAGCATGCTGGCAACATCTTCATAACATTCTGTCTACACATCAGGGAGCGCTCAACACCGGCAATCACTGATGCATCTTCAAAATATTCCAGAATTTTTTACTGAACCAGGGACTCTCATTTAAAAAAAAAAAAAAAAAAAGGAGAGAGAGAGAGAGAGAGTAATGAAGACATATTTACTGCCATTATAGTCTGATCCTGCAACATGTTTCATGTGAGCAGACCCAGGGACTCCATGCAGCTGTAGATCACCCACCAGTATCAGTTTGCAAGATTAGGGTCTTAATTAGTTGCTGTAGATCACAAATCAAAGCATAGAAAGCAATTATAAAGTTTGTGTTTACAGAGTTTCATGTGCCATAATAGACTGCTGGAGTAAATGTTTATATTAATTTGCAGGGCTTGCTGAGCCGTGGCGAGCCCTGCTCACCAGCCGCGCTGTTCGGCGATCTGCACATGCGCAGATCGCCCGAACCTGGCTCTTCCAGGTTGTAATCTACTCGCCTGTGGTGAGTAGATTACATAGATTGTCGAGCCCTGTTAATTTGCACGGATTCACAAAAGTGTTTGGCAAGTGTTCCGTGCAAATGTTTTGTAACAGTCCTATTTTTTTCTTTTTTGTTTTACTGAAAGTTAAATTTAAAATAAACAAGTGTCAAATTGTCTTTATTGTTAAAATTTCAGCCTTCACAGTAATAATTATCGGCCAACATAAGTTGCACTCACGTTGGCTAAAATCAAAATTCATTTGACATTTTCGTGGTTGAGGCTCTTTGAGAACACAGGCAATGAGTGACATGACGTTCTGCTCCAGAGGAATGTTAGTACATTGGATGATCAATGTGTTTTTCCACAGGGGAAAAATAATGAAAACTGGAAAATGTTTAATCAAGATACCTGCATTTCTGCAAAAATTGAGACCGAAGAGAATTGGAGATTCAGTACCTAAGTAAGTGCAAAGGCAAGTTTAACTATAGTTCAAGTTCTGCAATTCATCACAAGTTATTAAAGAGAGTGAGTTTACTAGAAAGTAAACACTGGCCTAATGCAAACAAGTAAGTTGGAAGTTTGTAAATTAATTCAAGTTATAGGGGTTTGTGCATACCTCCCGTGTTTGCTTCTTGATAATGGAAGACTAAAAAGGGTCATGAAATGAGTCAATTCCACAGCTGACAAATACATTACAGTGGGAAATGTTATTAACAAGACTTTGGCAACGAGGAGGGGGAAAAGAACCTGTCAGAATTTTGCTAAAACTGGTGCAATGCACAGAATATGAAGCTTGGGGGGTGGGCGTGGGTGTGGGTGTGTGTGGCGCCCATTCATCTCGAGAGACAGTGGTAAGCAGTGGCAATCTATGAGTTGTGCCTGGATCTGCAACTTCTTTCATGGCTTATGCATCGAATATTGGATTTGCACAGTCGATTACAATAGCTACATGCCAGTCTACTTCTGTTTTCATGAGTCTTAGAATTTTTCTTTTTGAGGCGGAGTTCTTTTGCATGACTTGCACAAGTCCTATTGAAAAATGACGTGCCCTGTTGTCATAATTGTTGCCAGGTATTGCAATCTGATGACATAGATTCCCAAGAGCTTGGATTGATGTTAAACCTTTTCATAATGTTTTTACATATATCCTTGAATCTTAACTTTGACCTTCCTCTTGCCCTTGCTCCACTTGTTAGTTCACCAAAGAGGATTTCTTTGGGAAGGCATTTATCACGCATTCTGCTCACATGG